TCAGCACATAGGAATCCAGTCCACAAAACCAGTTTAGTAACAACTTGAGGCCCCATTCATCTGAGTCATTTCAGGCCTCCTGTCTTCACCTTTCTGGGCTTGTACCCAAATTCAAGACTAGTACACAATGGCAATGCATCTGGGGCAGACATCTGGACCTTGATGTCCTCTCTCTAGAGGGGCATCCATGGAAGTGCACATCTCCCTTCCTAATCCTTGGGTAGTGGTCTATGCACAGTGATATTAACACATCTCCATTTTCATATGTCCACTTCAGCACCAGCCCTATTCTCCTGGCTTCATTTGCACTGTGATATCTGTGATTTCTTTTGCTATTTCTAGCCCCTCCTGGGTTCTGAGAGTTTTTGTAAAAATTACTTTTCTAGATTTGTGTTGTTTCCTCAGGCCCCTGCCCAGGAATCAGGGGCCAGCACTTGTGACCTGCTAGCTTCTATATTCTCATTTCTTCCCCCAGAGCCCAACATTTAGTTCTGCAGTTACTGCAAAATACCATTCTGTAGTTCAGCACCAGTTTTGCTCAAGAGAGAAAGAAAAATTATATTCCTGTAGGCCAAATAGAGATCTCTCATAGAGCTAGTAGTCTATGTTTCTATGACACATGATCCCCAGGAACCATCATATCTCATGTCATGTTCTCATTTGCGACACAGGCTCTGAAACTGATGCAGCTATATGTATCTTTGAGCAGAGTGAACTGACTATGCCTAATGCTCCAAGTGCAGGCTTTCAGTTTCCATTGTTTAAGGAGCAGGCTATCCTAAAAGGTTGAACTCATTGAGCTTTCTACAAAGCAAGAAAAAATATAATCATAATGATAATTTAAAATATTTCATTCAATATAAAATATAGATTTTTATTAATATTGTATTGGAGAAATACGCTATTGCAGATAAGGCAGCCAGTGACTATAAACACACATGCAAGGAGAGAAAAGTAGAATCTGGGTTCAAAATACTGGGGTTCCATGGAAACAAATGCTAAAATCACATCCCACAAGGCCAGAGAGCGGGCATGGCTCCTCTTTACTTCATAATGTACGGCAGCTGGCTCCAGAGATGCTTGTGTCTGCACCTGAAACCCCACCCTATCGCCATGACCCCAGAGGCCATGTACAAGTCATATCTGGATGTCCCATTATCACTTTAGCATAAAAAATTAAAGTCACTATCATGTTCTCTCCTCTTTCAGGACTTCCCTCTCAGCTCATTCCCCTTTGGTGAAATGACTAAGTGATTAAGTGAATAAGACCTCAGTATTACAGGGATCATAGAATTAAAGAAAGTAAAGCAGGTTCATTTCAAAAAAAATATATGAAAAAATGTATATAAGATAAAAATTACTAATAATCCCACAACTCCAGAGGTATCTATGCTTAATATTATTCTTTCAGGTTTTTTTTGTGTGTGTGCGTTTGTTTTCAGATATATTTAACAAGATTGGAATCATACAATGTGATTTTCTGCTTTGCATTTTGTCATATGCATTTTGCATATTCTTCAAAAAATTATTTTTAATATATGCTTGGCATACTCTATAAAAATGCTGAATATTCAGGTTACTTACAATGTTTAACTATTATAAATTGTACTGTAATAATATTGTGATGATCATCTTTGTGCACAGCTTTCATTGTCTTCACTTGAAAAATACCAAAAGAGTGATAAAAAAAAAACTTGAACACTTTTATGCAGCTTGATGTATATTGCCAAGTTGTCCTCTAAAAATAATTTAAATAGTCTATCAGCCAGCTCCTTATAAATACTGGTTTCATTATCTCTGAACTCTAAATAAATATAAATAATGCTCAATAGTTTTAAACTGATCTGATTGCTAGTTAGGTGTAGCAAGCTGTATAATGACTCCCAAAGGTATCAGGTCCTAATCCTTAGAACTCATAAATGTGACCTTAGGTAGAAAGTGGATCTTTGTAGAAGTGATCGATTTTGAGGTTAGAGAGATTACCCAGAGTTATTGGGTGGGCCCCAAATGCAACCACAAGCGTCCTTATCAGAGAGAGGCAAAAGGAGATTAGACAAAAAGAAGAGCATCAATGTGACCACAAAGGCAAAGATAGAAGTGATGTGACCACAAGCTACGGGATGCTGGCAGCCATCAGAAGCTGGAAGAAGCATGGAATGGATTCTCCCCTAGAGCCTACAGAGGGAGCACAGCCCTGCTGTGACACCGTGATGTTGGCTGAGGGAAGCTGTTGTCTAATTTCTGGACTCTAGAAATGTGAGAGAGTAAATGCTTGTTGTTTTAAACAACTAAGTTTGTGTTAATTTGTTGCAGCATCTATTTCAAACTAATACATTAGGATTAACCTATCTTCATATATTTATTAGCCACTGTATTCCTTCCTGTGTTGAAAATGCCTCTGTTATGTTTTTGCTAATTTTTCAATAATGGAATTTATTTTTTTCTGGATTTCTAAAATATATTCATAGGGTTGTATTTATACATTCATAACTTTATCTATATTTGTGGTGCTATAGTTCCCCAATTTATCATAAATCTTCTAACTTTGTTTATAGTTTTTTAGTGAATATGGGTTTTAATATTTTTTAAAAACTTATGTTTCTTTAAAATTCCTTATTTTGATTTTATATGATATCAGACATGTTTTCTTACTAATCATTCATAATTTCACTTTTTATGTTTATTTTTTTTAATTCATCTAGAATTTTCTTTGGCAAATGATATGAAGCAGATATTTAGCTGTTTTCTCCAATCGTTTTCAAGTTATCCTAGCACCAGTTATTTAATCATCATATCTCTTTATTGATTTAAAGTACTAACTTTATCATTTGATTAATTATACACTGTGGATTATTCCAGGGTTTTTATTCTAGTCCATTACCATTTCTGCTTCATTTCAGCAGCTTTAAAAAACCTTCAAAAAGCTAGAAATGCAAATCTCCATATATATTATCCTTTTTCAAACATTTCTGAAACCTTCCCAATGAACTTTTTGAATACTTTGTCAAGTTAAAAAAACAATTATATATTAGCGCAGCAACTGATTTCAGCATCCAAGGAATTGGGTTCCACTTACACATTTTAGTTTGTTTGTTTGTTTGTTTGTTTGTTTGTTTGTTTTTCTTGCCTCAGGTTTATTTTACAAATAGAACAGGAGCATACCAACCCCATGCAGACTGGACAGCAGTGCTGGAGTCACGCCATTCCTTCTGTCCTCACATCTGCAGACAGAGGCCTCTACTCAGGAGCTACATGAGTGCCTGGACACCTTTGGGAACCTAAGCCTGACCTGGAGCTGGAGTTGGAGCTGCAGCCAGAGCCAGAGCCATAACCACAGCTGCAGCCTGGGTCTTGGTTTGAGCCTTGACTTTGGACTGTGGCCAAGAGAGGCTGGGACCCTTGGCGATGCAGGCACCAGCATGCTTCCCAAGCTTGGGCTGTTCAATGTGGGCAAGTTGATTGAGCTTGCAGCTGTCGACCCTTGAGATCTTGAGCTTGATCACCTTGGGCTTTACGAGGACCTTGATGGCATCAGCATGCAACTCATGGCCTTCGTGTTGTTGGCCTGCAGCTTTTTCAGGCCCTTCTTGCATTCTTGGCAAAGTGCATACTCCTCAGGAACTCGGGCTCTATTCTCCTTAAGAAATTCATATCTTTGTGATCTAGATTTTTTGATGTTGTTTCTGTGACATTTTCCAGACTAGTTGTGCATGGCATGGTTCTTGGACTTGGCCGTGTCTGCACTGAAATCGCAGCTTGTGAAGCACCTAGAACTGGAGGAGAAATGAGTTCCACTCACACATTAGAAACATTGGTATTTTTAAATAAGAATATGGGTATCCATGTAGGGGATCGACCTAGATCTATCTAGATAAGGAGAATTCTTTTTAGGTACCAGATTCCATAAAGCATGCATAGGTATGGTTTTCATTCATTACTCTATGTACACTATGAAATCTTTCAAGGAACTTTTCTTTTATTATTTCTGTCTGATTTACTCTCTTATGAATTCCTTGCTATGAATATTTTGGATTTCCTAGATTATGTCTTCTCACAGCTCTTTCACTACTTTCACTTATTGCTGTTTTATTTGAGTTTTAGGACAATTTCTTGGATTTGCCTTCATTTTCAAAGATTTAGTTTGTTAGCAGTATTAATTCAGTTGTTCACTACTACACTGAAGTTTTAAATTCTATACTTGCATTTTTAAATTTTCATGTTTTTTTCATAATTTCATATTGCTACCTCTCTATGATATTACTCAAATTTCAAAATGAAATATTTATCTGAATATTGTGGAGAACATAACTAGAAATACTCAACAACTTCTACAGTTATTGCAGCAGTTTGAATTCTAGAGGAAGAATCTTGCTCTGATTCCACAGAGTGGTTTCTTTTTAAACCACAGAATATGTTTGTTAGTGGCTTTTCTTCATTTTGCATTTTTAAAAATGGGTCATATGTACTTGTTAAAAGTTGAAGATATTAAGGTATTAAGAGTTGACACCGTTTTAGTCACAGATTTTTTGTGAGCCCATGCCAAAAATAAATCTTTTACATATTTTTTTATTTTTTATTTTGCCACAATATTACTGTCATATTCCAATTTTTTTTCTTTTCTTCTTTATTGATTACAGTATTACATTTTTGTCCTTATCCTCCCATGGCCCACTAGCCCCCAATCATACCCTCACCCCACTGGTGTCTGTGTCCATTGGTTAGGCTTATATGCATGCATACAAGTCCTTTGGTTGATCTCTTCCCCATCCTCCCCTATCTTCCCTCTGAAGTTTGATAGTCTGATTGATGCTCCTCTGTCTCTGACATATTTTATTTCCCAATAGAGAAAGATATAAGTTTGCACTGGTTTTACTTTATCAGTACAGGGATTCACCAGCATTTGGGGAATTATGAAGATGCCAGGCTGGGGGTAATTGAAAGTGACTGGTGAATTTCTTAGGTGTGGTGAAGCAATCAGATATTGTTGGGGACCATTCTCCATTCTTTGTTGTTTATGTAAGCACTAGGGGCCCAGTGCACAAATTCATGCACCTTGAAAGGAACTGTGGGCTACGAGGCTGCGGTGGGCACAGGGGTGAATCTCTGCCCATCCTCTCTGCCCCCACCCAGCCCCTCCCACCACAGTCCCAGGTTCCCTGTCTGCAGGCAGCCCCACTCCCATCTCTGCCACTCCCATGCGCTGAAGGTTCCGGCCCTGCTCTCGCCTGCTGATGGTGTGGAGTGATTGGGGCTGGCACCAGCAGTGGGTGTGAATGGGGCCAGTGCCAGGTGGTGGCAGTGGGTGTGAGTGGTGGTTCTGGTATCAGCAGCAGGTGCAAGTGCCAGGCAGGACAGCAGCACACAGTAGCAAAGAACTTTCAGTAACCACCAGAGGCTCGCCTGATGGCAGCAACCAGTGCCCCACCTTGGTCTGGCACCCCTGCTCACCTGCTCCACCATCCTGCCAAGGCCAACACCCATCATGTTCTGTGTGTGCCCCCTGGTGGTCAGTGCACATCATGGCAACCAGTTGTTCTGTTGTTTATTTGGTCTATTTGCATATTAGCCTTTTATTATATAGGATTAAGAATTGCCATCAGCCACTGGTTTGGTGAAGCCTCTGGAACCCAGAGGGTACCAAGGACAAACTGATGGGATATAGATGTCCTCCTGGCCATCCCACAGCATGTCCATTCTCAAACCTTCACTGCTCAAAAATTTGGTGGGTTAGGGACTGGAGAGAATTGATTTGGTCTCTTCACCTTACTCCCAAACTGTCTGTCAAATGTAGGGCAATGCATGTCATGTTGACCAGATACAGTAGATTTCTACCTTCACTTTATCCAGTAAAATTTTCTCCAAGTTTCTGTAACTTGTCTTGCATCCTTCCCTAATTTCAGATTCAGAATAAACCCCATTATTATGGATAGCTATTTTTTGTAGCATTCTAGAGGCAAGAGGTCAGATGCATGTGTTTAAATTGTCATCTGTCTTGAAAGTTTTAAAATGCATTTTAGAAATTAGAAAACACTAATAACCTATTTCTATCAACGTTGACACTATTCTAACAGTTACCAGATTTTAAATTGGTGTAGTCACTTTTTTTATATGTAGATTTTGTTGATTTGCTTTTTATAAAGGAAATGTCCCTCTTCTAAAACCATGCCAAAAAAAATCTAAAATTGCAAGTGTCAACAGAACAAAAAGGAGAGTAAGGCTATGAATCCACTTTCCAAAAAGGCATGTGAAGAATATATATTCTAATAATTATGTATGGTGTCAGATGGGTACAAGACGTTGGAATGATCACTTAGTAAGTAATGTAATAACTGATCATTAGTGTGTACCTGAAACAAACAATACTGTATGTCAACTGGTATTGAAAAATTTAAAAAATTTTCAGACTTAAGGATCCCCCAGGGCAAAGGTTTACTGAGCATGTTCATAAATAGACCTTGTTTCCCATATTAAGAAATGAGTGCTCGTTCTCATATCCTTCCTCAAATATTTTGTTTGCTAAGAAGTGGGGGTTGGCGGGCTAGGCAGTGGTGGTGGTATGGGAAGTTGTATAGGTAAAAACATAAAACAAAGATTTCTGTGCTATTCATCTTTTAAGAGTGACTACAGCTAACACCTACTTCTTTTATAGGTTCCTTCCTTTTTTTCCAGAAAAAAATTCTGGCAACAAATGCTTAGGCATCTGTAAATGTCAGAACCATGGTGCAGATCACTGGAAAAAGAACACTACTATGTTTGTGTTGAGAATTAACTCCTCTCCCCTCAAAGGTGTAGTCACTTTTGACTCCCTCTTTTTCCTCCCTATCTCAAAACAGCTCCCAATTTTTTAAACTTGCAGTCCAATCTTTCTTTTCAAGTTCCACTGTGACTAATCTAGACTAAGCCCTTCTCTTAGTGGGAACCTCATGTTCCAATTTCTCCCAGCCCTGCTCCCTACCCCAATCTATTCCACAGACCCCTGAAGTTAATCTTCCTAAAACATCTCAAACCATCAATGACTCCCACTTTTAATAGGAATAAATAGAAATGTTTTTATGTTTCTCACTATCTGATTTCTTCATATATAAACAATCTTATTTCGGTCACTTCCTTTCCCAAGTCATCCTCAACCCCCAGCATGATACCTGGGACACAAAATGCTTAGTTTCAATTCTAAGCCACTGTCCACACTCTAGCCTGGTGTCCTCCTTACTCCCTTGTGAGACTGTAAACCCTGGAAGTAGGGGTCATGTCTATTTATCTTCACAAGCACCTAGGACCTAGCATAGTACCTGGGTCATAGTAATAAACCCATGTTTATTGAGTCATACTGGTTCCTATTTTTTGTATCTTTCTAGCCCAGCCCAGTACCATTATCTGTGACATCTGTTACAAATACTCAAGGCTTATTCATTGATCCAAGTTCCTGCTTTTTATGATTATTTTTTTAAGTTTTTCTTTGGGACATAATGTAGATCAATATTTCATAAATGTTTTATTGATGATGAAAATAAAGTATATTCTCTGCAGGACATGAAAATCAATATATACACATTTACACATATAACCTTATTAATTACGTTATTCAGGACATGCAAAATTTGTTCTTTTTTTTCTATTTGATCTATAGATGTAGAGGTATGTGTTACAATCTTCCACTACCATCATAATTCTGTCCATTTCTCCCTGACTTTCTAAAATTCTTTTCTTTGTCTATTCCAATGATTCCTATGTCAACCAGCTTTTAGTCAGACAAGCAAAACAGCTATGAGTTATGAGATAAAGCATTTATTTTTGCAATTAGCTACTAAACAATTATGGGAGGAGCTGAGGAGTGCAGTCTGGAATGGAATTTGGAGGATCAGAGAAGTCAATAACAGGCTATTTTGAGAGTCCTAGTGCATCCAGCCATTAAAGTTAGGCCACGGAGGGAATAAGTCTGTGGAAGAACTCTGCAGGTCATACCCCAGTGTCTAGCTATGGACACTTGAAAAGAAATTGGACATGGAAGTGGCAGTTTTAAAGGAAAGCAGGACATGGACTTGAAGGATTCAGAGACAGGCTGGAACTCTGGCCCCTTGAGTCTGTTACCACAATGCAACCACCATAACCTTCTGCCTCTGAAATCTCATGCAAGTACCTCTTCTGACTTGGAAGGAGGTTCTAGAAAATTTCAACCAACTTGATTATAAAATAATTTACCAGAGATTAGCTTGTCAATGTGGCATTAATACATGCATCTTTTAATTATATTTAACTTCTAAGTAAAGACAACAGAAAAATTATAATCTACCTAATATGACACAAATCCCTCATACAACTTAAAGAAATGCCTCTTCCCAGAAGAGGATAAAAAAGTCCCACGTCATTTCAGCCATATAGAAGGGGAGGGGCAAAAGTAGGTTTACAGTTGTGAGTATGCAAGTTTATTCTTGTATTATTTGTTAATTATTGTGATATTTTCCTATGAACACCTGTAAACCTACTTTTGCCACCCCCTGCATATATGAAGGACATAAGGAAGAAATTATCTAAGTGAGGAAGTAAGAAAGAAATTACTCTCTTTTGTGTAACTGACTATATCATCATTACTAAT